CCCCAAAAAAAACCTACCCCTTCTCTCTCCCTGATTTATACACGAATATTTACACACACACCACAATGCAGTTGGGGAAATAGAGCACTCGAAATCTGCGTTTTCGTTTGTAAGAATGGCGGTGAATTCGAGCGAAGAGGTGAGAGGCTTCGGCGAACGTTATGATTCTTTATTTGAATCAATTGAGCTTTTGTTGCGGTTTTTGTTCAGTAATGTAAGCTGCATTGTGCTGTTTTCGTTGTTTTCTGGTTCGCAATTTGATTATTAATGAAATTCTAGTTCGCTTATTGCAATTAATCTCTTTATAGATGTCTAATCTGAGTTCTTTTGCGGACAGTAAAGTGTTAACTGTCATTTCTATAGAAATTGTGAAGATAAGACTTTCTCAAACAGTGAGAACGGTTGCAATATTTGTGGTTCGTTTTTTTTATTTAAATTTTTGTAAGGAATTTTGTTTTCCCTGATGCAATTGATCTGCTTGTAAATGCAATTACCGAGTTCATTGCTGTCCTTAAATCTGCCATTTGTACAGTGGGTTAAATGTTTATAACTGCCATTTCTGTAGAAATTATGACGATAAGAGTTTTTGCAAGTAGTACAAACGGTAATGTGACAATTGGATCTATTGAGATGTTCTCTTTTTAGTTTTGTTTCCCTTTTTTTTTGTGGTGTATATGAAGCTGCATTTTGATGTTCTCATTGTTTTGTGATTGGGATATTTATTTGTGTGTTTTTCTGGTGGATTTTGGCTCTGTAATTCATTCAACCTGTTGTTTGATGTTTTAGACTGAGTTCACTGCAATGTGTTGTGTGAATTCAAGTTCGATGTGCATGTAGTGCCAAAATGTTTGTCACAGTCATTCCAGTGGCATATTTTATTTTCTGAAGAAATTTATTCAGATATAGTTGGAGATATGAAAGTTTATTATCGTAATATTGTGTGATTGCATTTTAGAGTTAGATGTGTCTTTGAAGGAACTTTTATTTTCTATTTACAAGAATATACTTTTTCTTCCCATATGTCTAAGCTTTGGTGGGAGTTACCCGGTACATCTACTCTTGGAAGGTAGCAGGTATATGGTAAAATAGTCGAGGTGCGCACAAGTTGGCGCGGACACCACTGTCGTTAAAATAAATCCTTTTATTCTTTTTCTTCTTTCATCAGCAAAGTGGATGTCTTAAATTGAGTCCAGTTACTATTCCCTAGACTACATTCAGCATTAAACAGTCTTTAGACACTACCGGAGATTTTTCAGTTTTTAGTATTTTATCTATGTTTGGAGGGTTTTCTTGCATTAATTGAGTATTGAAAAAAGTTAAATTTTTTTGTCACCGTCTCTAGATATTCTTTCTTGTGTAGTTCTATTTGTTTTGTTTTATATTCTGTCACTATCTAATACGCGCTGGCATTAAGTAAAAATGCAAGTCCTACATTCTGATGCTTTTGTCATTGCTGAAAGTAGGGACCATTGAAGCGAACATTTGATTGGCAAATCTTTTGATTTGAAGTGAAATATTTATTTGTTTTGTATCTTGTGCTTATAAGAGAGGGTTCATTCTATGAGATGAACTAGCGTAGCGGCAGACTTATCTATCATAGCTCTGTGTTTCTTAACAAGATCTTTCTACTTAGTAATTCCCCATATTTTCATGTCAAAGGTAGAATGCCCATTTTGTATCTTATTGGTGTTGGCAGTGAGGTTAGTAAAATATTATAGAGTTGATTTAGAACCAGAATTAAAGATCTCTTGGTGGCAGCTCAGTTCTTAAAATCGTATTAGGTTTTGCATAACACAATTGAAGGTGAACCTCATTTCTGCTTTCAAGGGTTAATAAGATGACCTTGTTTCCCATATCCTTTCTTAGTATGGCATTTGCTGTCACATTTTCTCTGAACGACCTGAACTGAATCAACTTCCAGCTTGGTCCGTGTAAGGTAAACTGTAATGTGGCAATGAACAATCATCCTGGGCTATTGCGGCTTAAACCTTTTAATACTAAGATATCATGTTAATGTAACAAAGTCCCTCGTCCAAACAGCAAGAAGATCCATACTATTATCGTATGTGCTGTTATCATACTTAAGGCAATAGGTAATATTTTGTTTACACCTGCTACCTTTTATCTGAGCTTTTCCGTATTACCAGAATTATTTATTTCCGAAAAACATTTCCCCAAATTCTTTTTCCCGAATAACGAGAACTTAAAGCTCACATTTGGGATGCTAGTTCATTATCATATCTGCTTCTCTATTTATTTAGTAATCTCTTCGAATTCTTTAATTTAGGGCACTGAAATCGCAATAACTCTTTCTATTTTAGCAAAGCCAAGATTCCCTGAATGTTGTAGAATTACCGGCTGAAGGAACCACAGGCCCTCTGTGTGAATCACATTTAGACATGGTGAACCTATCCAATCTAAATTTTGTGAAGACGCCAATCTCAATGGATGCCAAATCAAATGGCCGAAACCATGCCAACCTGAAGAATGGTAGCACAGATGTTGATGGCTCATATATTTTGGATATAGATACTGAGAAAGGAAAATCTGAGGCACCTAAATCCATTCAGGAAATGGGTGGGAATGTGAAGACGGATGATTGTATAGCTGTAAGTTCTTTTAATGAATTTAACAATTCCGCCATAATCACCTGTGAGGACATTATATTTTGCATATCAAAAGGGATTTTTCCTACAGGGCTTCTTTTCTTATATGGTATTATTTTGATCTCTAATTTAGTATTTCGTCAAATGTATGCTATACATTGACATACCAATTTCATTTCAGAGGATGTTGCAGAGAGAAATTGCATCACTGATGGGAGGTAAGTTCATGCAACTCCTGATGAATCACAGTGTTGAGTTGCCCAAATTTGCTTGTAAAGGTAGACGTTGTTCTGCAATCACTCTGATATTCATTTTCCAGATAAATTTTGTTTTAGATGAGGACTACTCTTTCCCCTCTGCATTTCTCTTTGCGATATTCTAAAACACATTTTGACCAAATTGACTGAAGTCAACTGGATGCTTCTAATGAGCTTGAATATTGTTAGGGCATCTTCCTACATCTTCACTCCTATATATAAATATTTAACTAATGTTTCAAAAATATTCAAAACCAAAAACTATTTCTTCAGGAGTATGACAGATCTGGTTGCTCTTTCGTGAAATAACTGAAGCATGTAACAGTATCTAATTTTCGTAATTGTGTTGCATGTTGATTAAAAAGATAAGATTCTTTAAGAATTAGTGGTTCTCCAGAAATAGCTTTACAGCGTACTTGTGGACAACTCCTTCTGTGATCCATGCTGTTTCATTTTCCAACTATCAGGTCTCTGAAGTTTATAATAATAGCATGAGTGGCAATACGAAGTACCATAATGACATGCAAGTGTGCTATTAGGTTACAGTTTCAATTATTTTCCTCCTTAGTTATGCGAAAGTCAAAACTTACCACTGTAACCTACTCCAAAATCTGTAGTCAAGCACCAAATGTTTGTCCTTTTCCCCTGTTATCAATAGAGTTGTGAAAGGTGACTAGTGCATCCTTTGAAATCCACTTGCTAAAGCTCTTCTTGCAGTCGCATTGGAGAACGCTGTAAAGCATTGTCACCCAATCAATTACCATTTCAATAATTCAAATTGAAATAAAATTGGCTTACCATGTGCATGAAGTGCTCCCCATAAATCTGCTCTTTTTATTACCTGAAAACTTCTTTATGGATGAGAATGCTTGATGGTGTTCCTAGACTAATAACTCGTTATTTCTAGTCTATTAATCTAAACATGTGTTTTACCATGATGTATTATCTAATATACTTAACACTGAAGTTGGCTTTGCAACTGCTATGATTAGTCAGCATCAGTAGTTATAGACATCCTATCTTCTATTATCATTAATAAGTAGTTGATAGTTTCCTTATGATAAAGAGATCTTAAGTTATACTGTTGTACTACTGAGATGAAAAGTTGATAGTTTCCTTATGATAAAGAGATCTTAAGTTATACTGTTGTACTACTGAGATGAAAAGTTGATAGTTTCCTTATGATAAAGAGAACTTAAGTTATACTGTTGTACTACTGAGATGAAAACTTTATAAGTGATTCTTGTTTTATATGGCAGATAAATGTTTGACCGAGAAAGTATATGATGCATCTAGCAACAGACTCAGAAAATACAAGCGCTCTGCATCTTTTAATTCAAGAAGAGTTGTTCTCCTTTTCTCATTCCTGTAAGTTTAATCCCCGAAAACCGTTCTTGTTATCTTATGCTTCTTTCCTTTTTGGTGCTAAAAAATTATATTCATTACCAACCATCGACATTATATTTATTTCTCGTAATCTGTTAAGTCGATGAAGTTTGTGGATATTAATCATCCACATTTTAACATGAATTAAAGGAAATAGACATTGTGATAATGAGTTGTCCTGTTCGTACATTTGCATGAATGAATGAATATGGAACAAGTATTGCACAACCAACCATAATTATTGAAGGCAGAAATGCTTCACCAAGCTAATAATGGTTGTGAAAACTGTGAATTTTGTATCTCGCCATCCCTTGATTTGGAAATTATAAATTAACTTTTCTATCTATTTGTCAAATGGAACTTTCAACTTCTATGTCTTTCTTTGTCAAACACGCGCAAGCCCTTTTTTTTTATTTTTGTGAGATGGAAAACATTTTGTAAGTGAATAATAAGGTTAAAAGCTTTTAACTACTGCAGACAGGATAGGGATGATAAGGTTAATAGGATGTGGTAAGCTTTTAACTACTGCAGACAGGATAGGGATGACAAGGTTTATAGGATGTGGTTGATGTTTTTTATAAAGAGGCAGGGTTGCCTTTGTTTTGGGGTTTGGGGCGGTCACTAGATTTTGAGTTACATTTTTTTTTTTTTTTGGGGGGGGGGGGGGAGGATTTTGTGGCTGCTTTTTCCTTTTTCATCATCTTGAGTTATGGTGATTAGACAACATATGATAAGAGGAAAGAATATTTTGTTTTTCAGTAGATAAGTTAGGAAGGGAAGATATACTGGTTTGCTAACCATGAGGCAAAGTAGCCTATTCCAAAGGAGTAGTCTTTATTCAATAGGTTTCCAATTGCATGTATTTCCTTTTCAGAACCTACTAATCAGAGTTGAATGCAGATAATTTTGATGTCATGTATTATACCAAGTGTTCTCTTCTATTTCTTCCGATAGTTATAAGTTGTTAATAGGCTCATCTCCAGAGATGATTCTACTTGGATTGAGTACTTAATTATCTATTCGGAAAGTATATGTATGAGAAAAGTCATCTAAACATCAAACAAGAATCAAGACAGTAGTATTTATCACAGTCTCTACGGGAGATTAGTTGTAATGTTTAAATATTCTTGAAAAAGAAATATGGATGAGGATGGCTATGGGGCACAAAAGTATAAGCATAATCGTCTGTAAGACTGAGCCAATTTGAAACTAGGCATGTGATTAGAAATGTTGATTCATTACAGTCGTTGTATATCTTCTTTTTGGAAATAAATTGTTATATTGACAAAATCGTCGCTTATTTCTTTTTTTTTTGAGTATGTTTTCTTTTTGGAGAAATCGATATTCCTGTAAGTATGAACGAAGCCTAGGAAGAGATTAAGGACAATTTTCAGAAATAAATTGTTACAATATATTATAACAACTTATATGACCGATGGATATATATGTTGTTAGCTAATTTGCAGCGACATTCTTCTCAAATTAAGTTGCGAGTATGTGGAAGAGATGCATGCGACTTTAGTTACATGGTCTCTTTTGCTCTAGAATGTACATGTCTTTTTCTGTTACTACTTCTTTAGTTGTTATCACTTCTATATAGCAAGCAATTGACCAAACTCTCTCCCTTTCCCAGGTCGAGCATGGGGACAATCATACTCATTTACCTTACTCTAAGAGTTAGAATGAGCATTGATGGGGCTGGTAATGTTTAGTCTCTGCTTCTCCTGTCATCCACTCACGCCCATCATTTGCGAAAAGAGTTTTGCTAGGAATGTAAGCTANCAAAAAAAAAATCCTTTACTGGAAGTGTGGTTTTCCCGTTGAAGATTTTAACAACTTAGAAGGGAAAACTAGTAAAACGTATTGGGAAAAATACATTTTAGTCTGGTGAAATCATTCACTATGCGTATAGTTCTTACTCAAATGCTTCTAATGGTTGGCTAGTTTATCAATTTGATGTTAAAAATACATTCTTATATGGTACTCTTAGTGAAATGGTATCCATGGAAAAATCTACTGATTTGATTCACCCAAACTTTTCTCTTCATGTTTGTGGGTTGAATAAAGCACTATAGCTTAAATAGACCTCAAAGATGTGGTGATTGTGTTACCTGTTTTGTAATGCTAAGTCTGTATCTGTCTCTCTTTCTTCTATATCCTCTTTAGACGCTACTAATTTCTCTCATTTTTCTAATCCCACTCAATATCGGAGCCTTTTTCTCTGTCTTCTATCTCACTTCTAATCTTCCAGATCTTGCTTTCGCGCGCTCAATCAAGTGTCTCGGTTCATGTTTCTCCGTCGGATGTACACAGTGCTGTAGAAGGCAAAGGCCTCAGGTGTTTGGGGTTGGAGAGCAGGGGTCTGAGGTTTCAAAGGGTAAGTGCCAATCACATGTATTTATCATAAAAGGGAAGAAAAGGTGTCATTCACAAGTGTCCTAACACAGGCTAAAAGTCTAACAAACTGAAATGGTCAACTTTCATCCTTAACGGCACAGAGAATGGCCAAAAGAATCGAATTCCTGAATTAGGAAAACCAAAAGCCGTTTCATAACAGCAACAAGTGCATCTTCAATGATTTCCTACTCGTCAGAATCTAAAGGATTTGTACAAACTGAAATTGACAAAAAAACTCATTTTTATCTAAGAAAATAGCTAATTGAACATCGTAATAATAACTGGATGCAACTGCATTTTCCTGTATCCAACTTCTTTATCTCTGTCTTCCACTTAAAGTAGAAAAATTAGCAAGCACAACCTCCCTCTTGCTGCTCCGTTTTAGATGTATCTGCTGTAGGCTTCAAATTCACGTCGACCATATCTTCCGATTATATGGATGATAGTGTTTCCATCCCTGGTAAAGCAGCAGCAATTTTTCAGAATAGAGCTGTTTTAGAATCTACTAGAACATTTGAAGTTGCACTAGTATTTTTCATCAATTTTCCAACTACCAAATACTCCTCTCAAGTGAACGAACAGAAGTGGATGCCCAAAATTGTCTTAGAAAATAAGATTCAAGAGCAAGACCACAACACTACGGATTTGCAAATCTATGATGGATGCCAAAAGCAAAATCCTAAACATGAATTAAATCAAGTCATGCCAATTTAAAAAGAAAGCAAAATACCACATAACTTAAAGAATGCACACACAACACCTGGATAAGCAGGCAATGCAAAAAAAGGAATATATCAAGTAAAGAAACATCCATCTTGATAACCCCACCTTTTAATTTACTACGACTAACATTCTGTCCGAGGTGAATTACTTTGTTAAAGCATGATCTTGTGACAACATTTCATATCTAACCATGCCTGATATGTAATTAATCCTAAATATGCAAAATTACTAATTTCTCTACTTTTGGAATCCACTGCAAAGCATGTAGATTTTGCTTAAGTGGCAAAACTAATCTTCTGTCCTAGATGTATCAGTTGGACTAGGAATGATCTTCTGGTAGCATAGGCTAATGACCAGTGTACATTTGAGACCAAATTTAAACGGAAGGTATAGTTGTTCCATTTTCGATAGTTGAGTGATAATTTTGGCCCTTCTCCCATATCTTAATTGTTAGTATTGATTCTCAAAATTCTTAATGATAAAAATTCTATTCATCTATAAAAATATGAAAACTGAGAGTTACTCAAATAAGCCATAATATTGCATAATTACCAATTGAGAACATCGAAAGAGTGAATATCGCTTGAACATTTTTTAAAAAAATTGATAGCCAAAATTATATCTACACTTATTATTGATCTTCATGTCTTAGTTCTCTATCTCTCAAAATATCATACTTTTATTATTTTGCTATTTGGAACCAAATTTATATTTATCCATGAATGAATAATATTTTAAAATTGATCCTAAAGTGGGCTGGCTTGTAATTTGTTTTACAAAGTGGGTATAACTTCAATTGTAACTCCAAAACTGAGTATAGATGCAAATGCCTCTTTGTTTTAGCCCCCTAAATTTTGAGGCCCCAAAAATATTTTTAGTTGTGGAATTTCTATCTTATACTTGGACAATATTGAAGTTTTATAGAGAAAAAATACAAATTCCTTATTAAAGTAGAAAGAAAGACCGTCTATTTTTTAACAATAGAAATAGTTTAGAACTTTCAATTAAGCTACTCAAATCTTCATATTCATAAATAATATTTTCTACAATAACGTCAAAGGTAACACATTATAGATACGTGGCTAACATCTTATTAGCTTGAATTTTCTTACCAATATTAATATTAATACTCCATATTATATTTTATAAAATAACTACACTTCAACCAAAAAAGAAAGCAAAAAAGAAACCAATGTAAATATTAATATTATATTTTTTAAGATAACTACGTTATGGACCAAAAAAAAAAAAGAATATGAGTTTTATTGAGACGTCCTTGAGTTAGTCACAGTCAAGAAAGATTTTAACATTCTGGAAGATGAAGTATCATGGAAAAATTTCATTGCTCATTTCATTCCAAGGTTATATGAAAACAATCCTGAATTCAACCCTGAAATTCTGAAAGTGGCGTTTAAGAAGATCAGACAATGGTTCTGGACAGACAAAGCAAAGAAACCACGCACACGATTTACCCGTCCTTGACACTGAGATGTTTGACCTATGTCAGCAGCTTTGGGGTTAGTTTTGAAAGAAGACACGTAGACTACATTGTGCAAATTATGTTTTAAAAAGATTGTCACTATTTTCTTGTTAGTCCGTTTAGAAAAGATTGCACCTTTCAATATTTTCTTAATAGGAAGCATTTATAGCCACACAAATGCTATGATATATTTCAGACCATAAATTTCATATTATATATATAATATGAAAAAAAGAAAAAAAAAATTAAATAAAATGAAATTGACACCGCTTAACAACTAATGTGGACTGTTGCAGGCAAGGAAACCAATACATTACTTAGCTTCTTAATTGCAATTTTAAAACTCACAAGAAATAATGAGAACGAAGAGACTAATAAAATTAGTTCTTCTAGAAAAGCATTGTACAGAAAATTCAGTTTTTTCTTCTCCAATTTCTTCTTCCCAAATGATTTTTACAAACTCAATTTTGACCATTTTTTAAAAAACTAGAAACTTATAATTCTTTTCCATGCTCAACCGGTCATTTCTTTCCCTCATTAAATTTCGCCGCCAGAGATAGCCTGGGAGCAGTTAGTAACTCAAGGAAATCTGATATTGTTTTTAGCCTTTAAGGAGGAAGAAGTTTTGCTTTTAGAACAAAGAGGGAGGAACAAAAAAAAATTATGATTAGAAATAATGAAATCCACCGAAAATTAGTCAGATTCCGGCCATATTTTCAATAAATGATTTCGGTCAAGACCCCCTTTTCCTCTCCTTCATTTTTAATAGTATGAAATTAAAAACTAGAACAACAAAATCTTATACGTAGTATAAAGCTTGTTCTTTAAATATAGTAGATCCCATTTTGTCATAAAATAATAAGAGAACGGAACAGTGAGAAATAATTTTGGCTAAGGAGGAAATGACGGGCAAAAGGGGATTTCTTTCCTATTTCCTTTTTTTGTCTTTATTTTTTTCTTTATGTAAAGTTATTTGACTTGTCAAATTGTAAGAAACCACGTGTCAAAAATTTAATACTCCCTCCGTTTCAATTTTAGATGAGGTAGTTTGACTCGGCAGAGACTTCAAGAAAAGAAAAGAAGACTTTTGAAACTTATGGTCTTAAAAGTTTAAAGGGTAAAAGTTTTGTGGGGCCATGACATTCGTGTACTTATAAAAACTTCTATTAAAGGTAAAATGAGTAAAATGAAGAATTTAAAGTTGAATTATTTCCCATTGAAGAAATATGTCATTATTTTTTGAACAAACTAATAATGAAAGTGTGTCATCTAAATTGAAACAGATGAAGTATTAATTTTGTGATTTTGACTTTTTACACGCTTGATGTGGGTAAATCACACATTCTTTGTATTATTATCACATAAGGGGTATTAGTTCCACCCCTTAAGTAGAATAAGGGGGTAAAAAAGTTAGAATGTAAAACTCAATTTTCTGGACAAATTTAGGGGGTAAATTATATATTTTCACTTAAGTTTATCATTTAAGAATGATACAAGTCTCTTGACCTCTTTTAGAAAAGGTATCAACTAAGGTGCCATATGCTCCAAAAAAATGTCTAAGATAAATGTATCATAGGTTATTATGAATACACTTTAAAAAATGAGAATTTGTTGAGGCAGATTGTAGTAATATATTTTGAATTATATTTTATTATATAATTTGATTATGTTTTTTAAATATGATATTGTCTTAATTAATTATTTATATGTTTAATTTTTTAAAATATCGACACTACTCATAAAAGATTATGCGTACGCCCCTATTTATATCCACACAAATGCTATATCTTATTTAAGATAACATATCTCAAGAGTCTCCCCTTCTTTAGTAAAGTTTGTAACAAATTAAACTAGGATAATCATTTTGAAACGGAGGGAATAGAAGATGTAGTGAGGTGGAATCAATTATTCATCTCGGGCCGTGGGTTTTCCTTTATTCAGAAGGATTTTCCACGTAAAAATCTCGGTGTCCTTGTTTCTCTTATTATTATCGTTGGTTATTGTATTTTAGTAATCCACATTTATTACAATCGTATACTGTGAATATTATTTTTGTGGATGTTATTTTTCCCAACAATTGCTATCAGAGCACAAGTTCTACTCATTCACAAAAATATTATTTACGGCCGATTTTACATTTTGACAAAAAAAATGCAGGAGTAAAATATGAAGTAATAAGATTCAACGGTAATGTCGGTTTCTCCATATGGCAAAGAAGGATAAAGGACTTACTCATCCAACAAGGGTTAGATATTGCATTAGATGAAAAAGAGGCAAAGCCCGAAATCATGAAAGACGAGGACTAGACAAACATAAATAAGAAGGCGGCTAGTGTAATCAGACTGCAGTGTCCGGTAAAGTACTCAATAATATCGGAGATAAAAATAGTGCATGTGGTATTTGGAAAGGACTAGAAAGTCTATACATGTCCAAATCCTTAACAAATAAGTTATTTTTGAGAAAGCAACTTTATGCCATTCATATGAGTGAAGGTACAAATTTTTTGTCCCATTTAAATATATTTAACGGATTAATCACCTAGTTGACAAACCTCAGAGAAACAATCACTGAAGTAGATAAGGCTATCATGATTCTAAACTCGTTGCCATCTTCCTATGATAATTTAGCAACAACCTTCTTGCATGGTAGAGATACCATCGAATTAAAGGAGGTCACATCAGCCATCCTACTCAATGATAAGATGAGGAAGAAGCCCGAAAATCAGTGGCACTCTTATCATGGAAAACAGATGAAGGAGATTTTATAGAGCATCGAGTAGACATGATAAATACAAAGATCGTAGAAAGTCCAGGAATCGGTCAAAAGGTAGAAATTGCTATAGTTATGGTCAACCCAGTCATTTCAAAAGAGATTTCCCAAAGAATGGTCGAGGTGAGAGCAGTGACCAGAAGAATGATAACAATACAACTGATGCAGTGCATAACGTTGATTTGGTGGTTCTCTTCGTTCACAAGGAGGAGGAATGCATGCACTTAGCAAGCTAAGAGTCGGAATGGGTGGTTGACACAACAACATCCTATCATGCCACACCGGTAAGAGAATTATTTTATAGGTACAAAGCATGAGACTTTCAAATGGTCAAGATAGAAAATACCAGTCACTCAAAGATTATGGGGATTGGCGATATTTGTATCAAGATAAATGTCGGATGCACATTAGTTCTAAAAGATATGCAGCACATACAAGATCTACGAATGAATTTGATTTCAGGGATCGCTCTAGATTGATACGGGTACGAGAATCACTTCGCCAATATAAAGTGGAGACTCACAAAGGGATCATTGGTGATTGCTAAAGGAGTTGCTCCTTACACGTTGTACAAGACAGCGACTGAGATATGTAAAGGTGGATTACATGCGACTGTAGATGATACGCCTGCAGATTTATGGCACCGAAGATTGGGCCATATGAGTGAGAAGGTACTGTAGATCCTATCGAAGAAGTCACTCATCTCCTTTGCAAAAGGTACAACTGTGAATTCTTGTGATTATTATTTATTTGAAAAACAACATAGGGTATCGTTTCAAACAACTTGTGGAAGAAAATCGAATATACTTGATTTATTATATTCTGATGTTTGTGGTTCAATAGATGTAGAATCAATGAGAGGTAACAAATATTTTCTCACATTTATTGATGATGCTTCGTGGAAATTGTGAGTTTATTTCTTGAGAACAAAAGAACATGTATTTCGAGTTTTTCAAAAATTTCAAGCTTTGGTAGAAAGGGAGACATGTCAAAAGTTGAAGCGTCATAGGACAGACAATGAATGAGAGTACACTTCAAAAGAGTTTGAAAACTACTGCTCAAGCCATGGAATCAGACAGTTCCTCGAACCTCACAACACAATGTTGTAACTGAAATGATGAATCACACCATTATCAAAAAAGTGAGAATTAT